TTATTCCTAGGGCATGACTGGTTACAACGTCATAACCCGCTCATTGATTGGGATACCGGAGCCGTTACCTTGGCCCGATGTACATGCAGAAAGATTCCCTTCTCCCTCCCCGACACCGATCCCTCGGCGCGTTGGGACGAGTATGAGGAAGGGGATACTATCCTAGTGATTGATTTCGAGGAAGCCTTCCACGTACGAGCCATGGGGACTAAGGCTAACGAGCTAGCGGCTCGAGCCAACGCCAAAAAGACTGCGAAGTCCTTTGAGGAAGTAGTGCCCGAGGAATACCGGGAATTTAAAGATATCTTCGACAAAGAAAACTTTGACGAGTTACCTCCTCGAAAACCCTGGGATCATGCTATCGAGCTGATCCCCAACGCAAACGCCAATTTGGACTGTAAGGTCTACCCCCTCAACCATGCCGAACAAGAGGAATTAGACAAGTTTCTGGACGAGAACTTGTCTACTGGCCGAATTCAACCCTCGAAGTCTCCCATGGCTTCACCGTTCTTTTTCGTAAAAAAGAAGGACGGCAGACTACGCCCAGTCCAGGACTACCGAAAACTAAACGAGATGACGATCAAGAATCGCTACCCGTTACCGCTTATCGGAGAGTTGATGGACAGGTTGAAGAAGGCCAAATACTTCACCAAGTTGGATGTCCATTGGGGTTACAATAACGTTCGGATCAAGCAGGGAGACGAGTGGAAGGCGGCCTTTCGGACCAACCGCGGGCTCTATGAACCCTTGGTGATGTTCTTCGGACTCACCAACTCCCCCGCTACATTCCAGTGGATGATGAATGATATTTTCAAAGACCTTATTGCAGCAGGGGAGGTATCCGTGTATTTGGACGATATCCTTATCGCCTCGAAGACCAAGGCTGAGCACCGGCGGATTGTACGCCGGGTACTCCAGATTCTCCGCGAAAACAAATTATTCCTGAAGGCGGAGAAGTGCGAGTTCGAGGTGGAAGAGACCGAATACCTAGGGGTGATAGTCAGTGAAGGGAAGATTCGCATGGACCCGGTAAAGATTGCCGGTTTACTCGACTGGCCAGTACCTCGACGCAAGCAGGAATTGCAATCCTTCCTTGGATTCTGTAATTTCTACCGCCGGTTCATTCGCGACTATAGCAAGCATGTGAGGCCCCTTACGGCGCTCACTGGAAAACAAGAGTGGCTGTGGGGGACATCACAACAACAGGCCTTCGAAAAGCTCAAGGAACTATTTCGCGAGGACGTAGTATTGGCCATTCCACTGGACCAAGGGAAGTTCAAGGTAGAAGCGGACTCAAGTGAAGGAGCGGTGGGGGCAGTACTTTCTCAGTGGCAAGACGAGAAGTGGCGACCAGTTGCTTTCCTCTCCAAAGCTCTCTCAGTTACGGAACGTAACTATGAAATTTACGACAAGGAACTACTCGCCATCATGATCGCTCTCGACGAATGGCGACAATACCTCATGGGAGCCAGGGAAGACTTCGAGATTTGGACGGACCACTCCAATCTCCAATACTTCCGCAAGCCCCAGAAACTCAATCGGCGACAAGCCCGATGGGTCACCGAGCTGGCGGAGTACCAGTTCTCCTTACACCACAAGCCGGGGGCTCAGAACCGGAAGGCCGACCTGTTGTCTAGAAGGGCAGACCACGATCAGGGCAAAAAGGACAATCAAGATATCGTGGTACTCAAAGCCGAACATTTCAGGGCCCTCATCATGCCCACGACCGAGGACTTGCACGAGCGCATCAAGATAGCGACTCACGAACCTCGACGTTGGGACAGAGGAGTCGCTGACTCCCTTAACCATGAAAAAGGCATCTCTCGCGACCAAGAATTATTGTGGTATGATGGGCGAATTTATGTACCCATAGATCGCGACCTTCGAGGGCAGATCATAGCCCTCAAACACGACCACGTCACGGCTGGGCATCCAGGCATCGAAAAGACCAAGGAGTTAGTCCTTCGGGACTACTGGTGGCCCAGGATGCGACGAGATGTGGAGACCTACGTAAAGGGGTGCGACGTTTGCCAAAGAACCAAGGCCGACCGTCGACCAAAGAAAGCCCCGTTACATCCTAACGAGATCCCGGTCCGCCCTTGGACCCACATTTCAGTAGACATGATCACCAAGCTACCAGATTCGAAAGGCTATGACTCCATCCTGGTCATTGTCGACCGCTTTTCTAAAACCATTATCCCTATCGCCTGCACCGAAGAACTCACCTCTCTCGGGTTCGCCAAGATCTTGAGGGATTATGTTTATGTGCCCTACGGGGTAATGCCTGAAAAAGTCATTTCGGATCGCGGCTCGGTTTTCGTCTCCAAATTTATGAAGGAATTTTACGCCCTCATTCACGTTGAAGGAAACCCTTCCACCGCATATCACCCCCAGACGGACGGACAAACTGAAAGGGTCAATCAGGAAATTGAAAAGTACCTGAAGATGTTCGTCAACGATCGACAGAGTGACTGGAGCGAATGGCTACCTCTGGCGGCCTTCACTCACAATAACCGCCAGCACTCATCGACCGGGTACTCGCCGTACAAGATAGTCTTTGGGCGAGACGGGCAGGTTATTACCGCAGCACGGAAACCGACGGTAGTCCCAGCAGCGGCAAAATTGGTGACGGAAATCGAAAAGGCGCAGAAGGAAACGAGGACATCCCTGGAAAAGGCGGCCGAGTCAATGAAGAAGGCTTATGACAAGCACAAGGGTCAGGCGGTGGAATACCGACCGGGCGACAAGGTGTGGTTAGACACTACCAACCTAAAACTCCCTCGCCCTACCAAGAAACTCGGAGATCGCCGTATTGGACCCTTCACTATCATCGCCAAGAAGGGGGCCTCAGCTTACGAGCTCAAACTACCCGTCCGATGGAAAATCCACAACCGCTTCAACGAGTCGTTGCTGACACCTTACGTGGCTCCCGCCTTCCCCAATCAACCACGTCCCGAGAGGCCACCCCCAGAATTGATTGACGAAGAAGAAGAATACGAAATTGAAGAAATAGTGGAGCAGCGGGACAAGGTCGTAGGCCGAGGACGAACTCGCCGTACCATAACGGAATATCTCGTAAAATGGAAGGGATACCCGCGGGAGGAGAACTCCTGGGTCAAACGTTCGGATATGGCCAACGCGGAGGAGCTGGTAAACGAGTACGAAGCACACCTCCAGAGGATTCATTGGGAGGTCAACAAATATGGACGAACGGTGGGGAGAGATGATAAAATACCACCAAACGCTGGAACGGCGTACCACAACCCGGATACCCCATGCGTCACGGACATCGAAACGGTTTACTCCTCCGAATGCACAAACCCGAGACACTCCCACGCACAATCATCAGTAGCGGTGCGGGAAGTGACCACGGAGGAGGCAGAGGGAATACCCATCGTCGAAGAAACACAAAACGATGAGGATTCTAACCTAGACCTCGAAAACCTACAAAGAGTATACGAGAACTGGGACTTCGACTCCAACGATGATGACAACGATGATGACGATACCTGGTCCTTCTACAGCCAGTCCGCACAGAGTGGAGAGAGTCAGGATTCATTCGGGACGAACGAATCTTAAAGGGGGGGGTAATGTTACGGTTTATTCATTTCTTTTTCTTTTCTTTCCTTTTCCTTACGCATACATGCTTACCCAGTGCTGCGGTTCTGATCGAACAGTGCTGCGGCACTATTTTTAGTCTACTCAACGTGTATTTAAGTAGAGCCTCAGCTGGCTTAAACCCCAGCTTCGGCTAAGGTTTATTCTACCTAACATCGAACTCCGTTCTTCTGACTAAGTGTCCCATCGACTTTCGTCGCCTTTGACCTGTTGGTGTATCGTCTACCGAAGTGCGAGTAGCGATCCTAACACGATCTAAGTCGATTAGAGTTAGTGGCTAACACGCTTTGCGTAGTAAGGGTTACTGGTTTGGCTTCCAGGATCATCAATTCATCGGTGGGATGCCCAGGGTTTCCGTTGTCCTGAGAATCGGTAGCAGCGGCTGTGTTTGGATCAGGACTTGCAGTCTGTGATAACATTACTGCCACCCATGGTTCCTGGCTCCAATATTGATACTTAAATGCTTGAGTGCCTGAGTGCTCGAGACATTGATGCCAGCCAGACATGGCGTTTGAGGTAATGGTGTCAAATAATAAAGCAGAGCGACACATTGCCAGAAATATATGGAGAACATGCTTGGCCTGGTTTGTTCGACGACATCAGTATAGAGTCCCGAGAGTTGAGTCAACAGGATGTCGCAAGAACGTTGATGAGATGTGACGCTGCTGTGGAAGTGACATCACGGCCTTGTCATCACGGTGATATTAAACTTCGTTCATTCTCAGGTCAGTACAAAATCGTGTAGTGACGTCTGGACCGTGATCTTTGAGTGACCTCTCGTCAGGTTGGTGGTGTAGGTATAAAGGTTTGTTGATTGCAAAAACCCTTGCTACTGCCTTTCTCAGGTGTAGCCTCGCTGCATTGCCATCGCCATTGCCATCGTCTGACTCATCTCTTATCTCAAACCCTTGTCCTCGTGTTCCTCTTCATCAAAAACCTCGCAAACACCGACCTGTCATATCCTTCCAATCCATATTGGCATCCGCCATAGCCTCGTCTTCAGCGCCATAGTCAGTACTCTTCTTCGACGGACTGATGAGTCCAGAGAACTGCTCACTCATTATAGGTCGACCTCTTCTATCACCTGTTGTCAGTCTGCTACATTTTTGTCCATGTCCTGGGGGAGTTCTCGGATGACACGACTTGTGCACAGTGCATTGATGAGACTAGTCAGTGAAGTAGGTGTGCCATCCGGCTCTCGGTCTCTGCAAGGGAGTGCAGACTGGTCTGCGGTAAGAAACCAAGAGGAATGGTGCCATAGTTATACTGAGAATGGGCTGGGTTTGTGACTCTTTCGAAGGTGCAGGCTGCGCTCCAAATAATTCCTCCCAGGAGTCGCTTCGAATAATGAAGGATCAGCCGACCACATCCACATAATGTATTGCACCCTATTCTGGACATCATATAAGCTCGAAAGCCTGTAAAACATTAGTGAGTGACATGTAGGTGAGAAAATGCACGAGCTCACCATATTGTGCGGTCTACGGATATCGTTCCGATCTAAGCTGCACCGGTTTAATTTTTTTAAACTCAGCACTGTCGTCTCGAGAGGCGGAGACCATCCCGTAACCGCATCGCAAATCATCATTGATAGATTCTGATAAATGAGTAAATAGACAGTATGAAAGAATTGGGATTGCCTGCCTTATGTACCATTCTAAAACTGAGCTGGTTCTCATAAAATGGTAGGCCTAAAAACAACATTAGATCTAGACAAAGTGCAGTTAGGTGGTTGCTAACGAACCAAGTATTCACTCACCTTCGCAAGATATGCCATGGAGCTTGTGGGTGAACGAGTCACAACGCCATAATAACCTTGGGGTCGAAAAAGTAACGCCGAACTTTAAAGAACATCAGAAACCCAACAATAGGTAGGAAATACGACAAGCGCACCATGGTGCTCAGTGAGCTCGATGTCATCATCATCGTGGTTGTTAGGCTTGAAGTCAAAAAGCTAAGTTGGAAAAGGCAGGTGAAGGCAATCAGAAGATCAACAATCATCAACCTCTCTAGCATTGAAGACGTGTACAACAGCTAGAAGGGCTCGTTGAAGATAAGCCAAGGTTGGGCAGAAGGTGTGTGGGAGGATATGAGAGAGGGAGAACGAGGGAGAGGAGAGAGGAGGAGGAGAAGTGGGATGAGTAAAACCGGTCGGTAGGCCATCATTTAAATACCCGTTCGTTGTGGTTTCGATTTTGTGAAATTTTAGAGTCTAACGGCAGGGTGCGTATCCGGTGATGGCTGGCTTCAACATTGTCATCCTGATAATCGATACCAACATTGTACGTACAAACCCGCCGAGCGAAGCATTTGCATGTAACTGAAAAACAACCAATCAACAGAAGACACATTTGAGATACAGGATAGCCTACAGATAAGTGTATCACAGACAGTTATCGCAATTTCAGATCGTGCCCAGACAATTTCCGCGTTGAGGTTGCCAACCAACTTCCGGGATATAAACTGAGACTCAACAGACAGATTTTGGTTGAGCTTGCTTGGATCCTGGAGCTAGGAGGTGATGATAATACTTTGCCATATGTATCATACTGCGGTCAACCTGCACATCCAAGCGTTTGGAACGCATCCTGCAAAGACAGATCGACCCTTGTCCAGATTGTAAGTCTGGGTTCCTTTCACGACGACTGTATGGGCTAGCAGATTGACGCATCACAGTACACATGAGAACCTGAGCAGATCCATCCGTGAACAGCTCCTCCACTAAAGAACGATCTTCCCGTGACATACTAGCGTGATGGATGCCGAAACGAAAAGGAAGGAGAAAACGAACTTGATGTCGTTGGGTTTCTGTAGTCAGAATCTTCTATGGAGCAGCCATCAGCTTTGACAAATGGAGTAATCGTCTCCTTCTCTACCACTATGCCCCTCAGAAATTCTGCTGTTTTTATGGTCCCTTTTCGCGAGTGAACGAAAACGTGGGTTTGAGTCTTTCCAGCCCAGTCGAGGACTTTCTCATGCCAGACTTCCAATAAACTGCTCGCAAAGTCAGTACGAAGCGTCAAAAGAGAAAAAGTCCCTTTGAGATTCGTCTACAAGCTCTGGAAACTGAAGCACAACCCTCCCTGCGAGTCAAACGTCCGGTCAACATCGACCAGTTCTGCGAACTCCTTTCCCTTGACATTGTCTGTTGCGTCAGCCTCGATGCCCCATCTCGTGTACAGTCTTCTCCAACAAGTACGTCTGCGGACCTTGTACCAATATTAGAAACGCCAGCCAACACTCCTTCATCAATGCTCAGGCCGAAGTCTCCGCGGATGTCACAGCGGGACCTTGGTTTCGTACTGGAGAGTGTTTCAAACGAATACAAGATCTCGATTGGGAACGGCCCTTGTCCTTGACACAAGTTCAACTGTGATTGTGACTGTAGAGAAAGTCTAGACGACTGAGAAGTTCTCGGTTTGAGAGTCACCCGTAACTTTGCTGACTTTGACAGCATGGCACATTGGTCTAAGTATCGAGAATAGTCAGCGATGAAATCAAAATGCAACTTGATAAACATACCTTTTCAGTGCTGGTAGGCACGCGAAGAAGAATGGGCTCGTCGTTGCCCCATATGCAATAGGGTAAACGTGGTGAAGCTTGGGAATGGTAGACAGACACGCTTTCGTCTGATGATCCCCGGCCCATGTCCTTCTCGTCCATGGCAACTTCAACGAGTCAATGTGCTCATCTGCATGAGCTTGGTACACACACACAATGACGTCTCGGTTATCAGGGAATTTTGTCGTGGTATGAAAACTCCGATAGTCGAAGAGTTCCATAAGCCGGTTTTTACATTCATAAATGTCGGACTCAGAAGTAAGAATGGAGTACTGGGGAGACTTTGTCGGCAGTAGTGACTGGGTATACGTCAGGGATCTGTTGTGGGAGACGATGTCTGTGTCGACCTTGAGTTTGAATTGCTAAGGTCTGCCGCCGATAACCAGCGCGTCTTCACCAACTCTGCTGTCATATCTGCCGTCGGTGTCGTCCGAATCTCTGAGCCTAAACACATCTTCATCCTCCTCCTCTCAATCCTCATTGAAAGACAGGGAAACACCAACTTCACATATCCTTCCGCTCCACCAGTCTCGTCTTCAGAGCCAAGTCAACAATCTTTGACAGACTAACGGGTCGAGAGAACTGGTTACCGGTCATAAGTAGGTCCAATGTCCTCGATATCAGTCCTCTACCTTCCTTTTCATCCTTGGGCACTTCTCCGATGACGCGACCCGTGGATCAATGCAACCAGTGAGCAAAGTAGATGCACCATCCGTTTTCAGTCTCTGAGAGGGAGTGCAGACGGGTCTCTAGTAAGAACCAGAGAGAAATGGAGCCTTTGTTTTACTGAAAAAAGGGATAGAGCCTGGGTACAAGTAAGAGGGTCATCGACGCGTCAGAGTGGAGGGACGTGTCGGTGTGCAAGTCGATCGAGGAAGGCGGTGACGACATCGGTCCATGCTCAGGCCCAGGCCCTCCATGCTCAGATGTTCTCACGCTCCGACTTTCATCTTCGAAATCGCCAATTCGTTCAGGAGCCACACCAACGAGCACCAATGATGTAGACACTGCTGGGGTGTGCCGGTCTTTTGACCCGAAAACCAGCATGTAAAAACCGGTACTGTTTTGGATGTGTCTTTGGCCCAGAAGATTTGATGCGAAAAGACCATGACAAATATAGCGCACTTTGTACTTAATTTTTTGTATCTGTATTTCAACCGAAAAAGAGCAAATGGAAAACATGCGGTCTTTGGACAGATCTTCGATCCAGTGGTCTTTGGAAACCAAAACCTCCGATCTGATTACTGGTTTTTGGTTCGGTCTTTTGATCGGTTTTTGTATTGGTCTTTGGATCACTTCCTTTGTTCTTTCCTTTGTTCCTCTGGTCTTTTTGCCCAAAAGACCGGTTCCAAAGACCAAACCAAAGACCAGTAATCAGATCGGAGGTTTTGGTTTCCAAAGACCACTGGATCGAAGATCTGTCCAAAGACTGCATGTTTTCCATTTGCTCTTTTTTGGTTGAAATACAGATACAAAAAATTAAGTACAAAGTGCGCTATATTTGTCATGGTCTTTTGGCACCAAATCTTCTGGGCCAAAGACACATCCAAAACAGTACCGGTTTTTGCATGCTGGTTTTCGGGTCAAAAGACCGGCACACCCCAGCAGTGCCAGCAGTGAGAAAAGTCACCTGGAAATTTCCAAATCAGATTCTTCTTCAGTCCTAACAAAGCCGTACACGATTGCAAGCCATCACGGGTACCAAGCACCCGTTTCACTTGCAAGCAGACTCTCGGTTCTTCCTTCACACTATCGCATCTACCTTAGCCTGGTACTCTCCTCCACCGCGCAGCTATCTTTCAGTCTGTAAACACTACGGCAGACTGTAAGAGAAACATTTGGTATCCTCCTCCATCGAACCCTAGCTACGTTTCCATCATTCCTAGGCGTTCGGTCGTTGCTCGAAATCGCCACGAATTCTGATGAACGCGTAGGACGATGTCGATGAGGGTCGAAACTACATTTGTGAGTTACTGAGATCATGGGCAGGACTAGTACTGATGCTGCATACAGGTGTCTCTGGTAGAAATGCCACACCGATCAACGTTGTAACCCTTAAGGCCTTACTCTCCATTCTCATGCAAGTAGATCCATCTTGTGCCTCTCCATGACGTGCACTAAGTCTTTCGAGTGCCAATACGTGAAGACTAGTGCCTCTGAATCAGATACAAATATAATAAACGGAAGGAACGCACTCGGACACCGAAGACCAGTTGCGAGGCCTAACTAGAACTGCTCAGACAGCGCTCTGATTATTTTTATTCGGCGCATCGGAAGATGCGTCCAGATGAGAAGGATAGCGAGAGCGGGTGAGGTTGGGGATGGTGTTTCGGAGTATCTGTATCTCTGGAATCCGCCTATGCACCACCAGCCACGCCTTTTCCACACATATGGAAACTCCGCGTCAATAACGCCTCGCGGGCCGACATCCAACCCCAGCACGCAAACAATGTCGTCAAGACTCTGCAAGGCGAGGTTCGAGGCATTCGATATCAGTGTTTTGAGGAAGGACGCTGTCAGGTAATTCTGGTGGGTGGATCCATAGACGGACGGTCATGAGATATCTAACATCGGATGCTCGACCGTCCACCGAACAAAGCCGTGCATGGTGCATGATAGTCCACCACAAACCGTGCGCATACTCACACCTCCTCACCCAGAGCATCCTCACCGCAAGGTTTAACACTCCTCCCGCCCCAGACGTATGACCCTTCCGATATTCTCAACTTCAGGTCAGGATCGCCCACCATAGTGGAACGCATCTCGGAGCTGCAAATCCGCTCGATGTTCCTTTGCACCTTTTCCTTCCCATCTCGCATATTTTCTGGCGTCCAGGACACCCAACATGGCAACCTCGACCAATGGTGAAGCTGCCGCCAGCGTAACTAACTCGTACATCAGTGGCTGTATCCTAAGCGGGCGACAGGCTCTGCTGAAGTGGTGGCGAACTGGTATAGTACGTGCCACGTGCGGATCTCGCGAGCTACGAGGACGAGATTGAGAGGACTACTGGGTCGCAGTCTCGAAAATTCACCTCTCTGTCGAGCTCGGTCGGAAGATGCTGGATCGAGTACCATGCTATCAACAACGAGGGATGCGAAACACGATGGAGGTATCGATAGACTCCGACCAAGACTATAACGGGAGAGGAAATCGAAATGGTCGGAAGAGAACGTCTTGGCACTGACCGCATAGCGTCTTTATTCCTTCGATTAGCTGCAGACACACTAACCCTTCTCCGACGTATTTTTCTCTCGCGTTCGTTTCTATTGTAAATTATGCAGTGTTTTAAATGCATTATTCATTTAAATCCCTGATATACGTGCTTTACATACTTACATTCAAGTACCGTAACGATTGGCCACGTCCTCCCTCATCTATGTGTACCCCTCACGTGAGCTACACAAATCCCGCAAGTAATCACAACCTCCTCCATCTACCTTACATAGATCTCCCCCTTTTCGTTGTGCCTATCCCGAGGCATCCATCGTCCCAGCGTCGGAATTTAGGTGTAGGTTAGCTGGATTCCACCACTCCCCTTATTGTCCTTCTGTCCCTCAAAACACGCCTCGGCAAATATCAATACCTTGCAAGGAGTCAAATGCTCGGAGGGCTGGGTTCCGCTTGAATTATCTTGTTGTTCTACGAGTGATGCACGTCAAGGCGGCAGAGTGAGTGTCCCTTCCAGGGAACCTGACATGGGCTACGACGAGAGTGAGTACGGCTGAAATGATGTGGGTGACGGAAGGGAGACCTACTATTCCGAACACGCTCTCGTCACTTCTTCAGTACTCTCTTCCCTTTGCTCCAGTTTTCGAAAGCGTTGCCTTGACATAGTTCAACTTAGGTTCATTTGGTTTGTCGTTACCCGACCAGAGGTCTACTGTTTTAGCGCCAAAATCTGAACCTCAACATCAACATGAGCGTAGAGAATGGCAGAATTTTTGTTATGAGCACACAAGCCGCACAGTTCTCATCCGATCCGTCTTCAGAGTCCAACAACGTCGACGTCTGTTTCTCTCAGTGGCATGCGTCCATCGCGGGGAAATCAACCTTGGTATTGAGGATTTAGTAGTCCTAGTCAGCTGTAATCAAAGGTCAGAATTGCACAAGTGACGAGAAAAATTGTCTTGCCGTGCATCGTAAATTCAGTGTAGTCGTTGGGAAGGAACCCAAGAAGCTTGACGTCACCAAAAACCAAACATGCCCACCAAACAGACGCGCCGAACTGCTCCGATCGTTTCCTTCTCACCATTCTAACTCTGTTTCGCGCAGCATCTTTCTCATTTTCTCTTCTCTTCTCCCTCTCCCTACGCGCCGATTAGCCCTACCTCGCAGAAGCAGCAAACAAGGAGCGTGGCAATCCGACAAGAACCGGCCTCTGACAAAATATATGAAACCTCACGACAGCGTGCCTATACGAATTTCGGGGTGCGACAGAGGCAGGGAAGAGCCTGAGAGAAGTGAAGGAGGATCTAGTATCTGAGGAGATTGGTGTGGGCATCCCTTCGGATACTGTTGGAAGACATATAAGGGATATACGGCTCGACATCATTGACGGCTTCGCCGGCGACGCACTGGACCTCCTACAAAACGATGTTTCCCTGCTCCCGTTTCTCTGCGTGTTGTCCATCAATCGATTTCACGATCGCTATCCAGCTTCTACATCTCCTAGTTGATTTCAATGCTGTCCCACCTTCTGGTGTATCCGGTGTTCGTTGCGATGAGCTCAAGAGCCAGCCCGTAGGTGCAAATTGTATGGGTAGAGACGACTCTATGGCAAGGTTGTCTGCTACTGGAGTTTAAGGTATGTAAAAGTCCCCAATATTGTGTAGTGCAATATGATCTGATAGTTGCTTGAAAAGGTTCCTGTTATTTCACCAATTCATTATCAATTACGACGACGTACATACATTTGGGAATCATTCGGTGAGTTGATCAACAAAGGCCGTCATCTTTTAAGCTAACGAGCGTACTCAAGTGACTTCCGATGAAGGACAGAGCACCTCAGTCGTCTTCATGGATTAATTTTATTTAGTCTGCGCTCTGGCGACTTAGCTGCCGTAGTCAACGGCGTGCATTCGACGTTATTTCGATTATCCGCAGCGACGCCCCCACCCTGGTAGATCCAAATAAAGTCATGTGTCGTAAACGACGTGTTCCTCCGCATCTTCGAACTCCCAAGCGACTTTTATGACCATAGCTATACCTCTATAGTGAGGAGGATACGTTGACGTCGATTGATCGCAGTATCGTCTCCAAAACTGTGACGGCACATCGAGGCTACAGTCCCAAATGCTACAGCCAGTTTGCATTGATTAACATGCATCTGATCAGGGCTTATGCACTCACAGTCGACTTACGGTCAGCCCGTCTCAACGTTAATTTTGACTGGACCCTACTCCTCGAACTCATAACGTACTCTTTCACCCACTGGCGGGTACTCTCCGTTCGCGTCGACATTGATTCGGACTGGGGGCAGCACACTTTCCTTCCGAAGCTTCGACTTTACCGTACATCATACTTTCCCGGTTCTCGAACATGTCTCCATCATCCGTCACTCGGACGTTTCGTCGTGCAACGAGCTTTGCAGAGGAGCATTCTCAAAGAGGGATCGTCGAAGCTCTCAAGCATATGTTTTGCACCATTCATCAGTCCTTTATCTCCTACCACCGCTGCAGGCTATCAGCACGCTGCATCCAGAGCAGTTTGGTGAATGTACAATGAAATACGGGAGCTTCCGATGGCACACTTTGGGATTGCCGTCGTTGGCGAACCTACTATCGATCTGTGGCAACTTTGTTGATGGTCGGAGATTTGGATGTCCCTAGCCTCCGAACATCGAGGTATGGCCTCTTTCGGACGTATCTTCTCAACTCGTTTTCCAGATCTATTTGCTCCGACGAGAAGAGTGAACACTCACCCATCCCTTCTCCCGAGATACCGCTGGCCAGCAACAGCACAACTCGCGAATCTGAATACAGAATCTCAGTGCCTGTGAGCTTTTCTCTCAGATAGTATGTTCGACCTACTAATCATGTTACTTAGGCAGATACATCTCCGCAACAAAGAGAGGTATCGCGTGCATCGTTGATCACATATGACGATTCTGCCGTAGATTTCACTACGACCTCTGCCAGGTCCATCTTTCTGAGGTACCGAGCTGTTGGATATCAGGTACGAGTCTTATCAGATCCACCGCCTTCATCATCATCATCATCTGGTTTTGACCTCGGTAGAGTCTCATCACCGTGCAAGCTGTACGACACAACTTGTTCCCTGCATTTGTGCGGGACAGGTGTGCGACGTTGTATCTTTACCAGTCTAATAGGGCGGTTCTGGACTCTGAAATACCTCCTCCAAATAAGGTTCATTTTCGTTGGATATGGGGGGACATTCTTAGGAGACTTGTGCGATGTTTGAGATGAACGATAGCCATTGCGAAGAACAGGGAAGCGCCCAAAGCACCTGGCAACTAACGACCAAATATGACAGGCACCATAACTGCTAATCTCGATTTCCCTTAGACGCCGCAGAGGTGTGCACCACCTACTCTCCCAACGTATCTGCTGGGGCCTGGCAAAATGAACTTGTCCACAGTCTCCGAGCAAATGTCTTTGGTTTATGTGAAATAAATTAATCCATGAGGGAGAGCATTTAAGAGATCAATAGGACGAAGACTTCTATCACGTTATTTACATCCAACAGCTTGGGAGTGGGCAGGGCAGGGTAGCTGGGAGTATTTGGGCTGTGACTTGCAAGGATGCCTCGAGGTAAACACCTTTTCGTTTGGCACTCCCTCGATCTGTGTGCCCTATGTCTCGTATTGATAAACGTGGGCGTCGACGAAAGGTATGTCAGTCGGGAAACAAACAGAGGGAAATTTGATAATATTCCCAGAAAATCTCTCTTCCTGAAGTCACCATCTCCGCCTTGACTGAGACGGGCCAACCCGAATCGTCAATCATGGTTCCATTGCAACGGGCGTACACCGGTAGAAAGCCTGTGATATCATCCCACCTTGCTGACACTCCCTGCGCTACCCTGGGTATTCAGGGCATCTTGGATCAACTCAATACGACACTCGGAACCTCACACACCCTGGACACTCCATCCCTCTCCTCCCTTCTTGAAGAGTGCATCGCAAAGAGTTGGGACTTTGGCATGGCATATGGCTGCCTCCGCCCGATATGGTATACCCGAGACTGGAGCACTATACGAAACACACTGCGCAAATGGGAAGAGAAGGACAGGGAGATGCGACGAAAAGCACTCGTTGGTAACCGGATCGTCAAACCACATTTGCCACCTCGACATGTGTGGGATCTGTACAGTAATCGGGTGGTGCCATGGTGGTGCACAGGCATAACCGAGAAGATGATATGGAGGGTTCGGCCTATATCGCATGCGTGGATGGACGAGAAGGATCGTGTCGATGTGCGGACACCCATCAATGGATATGAATGGCCCGTTCCCGTGCCGAAAGACACCAGCCTCAACCTTGTCCGCATTGAGATGCTCAATATCAATCTTGAAGCGGAGTATGCATGGTTGGATGTTCTCTGTTTGAGACAGGTGGGTGGACCGGATGAGGATATGCGTACAGAAGAGTGGAAGCTGGATGTGCCCACCATCGGAGCATTGTATGACAGGAGTGATGTGGTGATTTACTTGAGTGGGCTGGGTCGGCCTTTGGGCTTGAAGGAGGGTGACTTGGATAGTGATCGGTGCTGGTTTAGACGTGCTTGGACGCTACAGGAGGTTGGGAAAAAGAGGCTGATTGCTGGGGACACGCCAGATGGACCACTGCATGCCAAGCGTAAGGACAGGAAGTATGGGACTCCACTACTGACCAGGTTTCACAGGCAGCTGCAATCTACACGGAAAATTTCGCATGGAGTATTTCCAGCACTGAAGGAGATGCAGACGCGGGTGTCGACTAACCCGGTGGACAAAGTCGCAGGACTGGCATTTGTTCTGTTCTCCTCTTCGATACCAGCATACTATGCGAATGAGTCTGTCGAGGACGCATGGACAGCACTCGTCAATTCGATGCGTGCGTGGGTTCGGGGGAGGTTGTTCTTCTCGTATCCTGAACGGGGCAATGCAGGCAGAAAATGGAGACCATCGTGGGACCAGCTTATGACGAAGCCTCTGCCCGACGCAAATGGATACACCCGCATTGTCATTCGTCGGAATGAGGAGATGGATGAAGACTCGTGCAATGTAAAGTGCATTGAAAAGGGGTTGGTGCGGGGGTTGGCTGTTGTGGAAGGGAGTGATCGACGCGGGGAGTTGATTGTTCAAGACGCGGGTGGGACAGAACATGCATTCAACATCACAGCCACCCACAAGTACCCGATACCTGACAACACATACACACTGATTTGCGCTCATAGATGGAAGTCCCCATATTGCGTTGTTGGCCAAAGACTGCCAGGAAGAAGGTTTGAGAAAGTGTCGGTGTTACAAATTTCCGATGAACAAGAATGGAGGCAGTTCCACAATCTTACTAAACAGTGTCGATATATTCTTGTTTAAGTACATATTGTAGTAGCTCTTCTTAAACCGAGTCGTTATCATACCTACCTGAGAGGGTGCAAAGGACTGCTCTTATGAAGGGTACACGCAGTCACTGCTAGGTATAAAGGCTTGTTGATTGCGAAAGCCTTTCTCAGGTGCAGCCTCGCCGCATTGCCATTGCCATCGTCCGACTCATATCAGATTTCAAACTCTTGTCCTCCTCTTCCTCTTCACCAAAAACCTCGCAACACCGACCTGTCATATCCTTCCACTCCATATTGGGATCCGCCGTAGCCTCGTCTTCAGGCCATAGTCGGTACTCTTCTTCGACGGACTGGCGAGTCCAGAGAACCGCTCGCTCGTTATAGATTGACCTCTTCTATCACCCATTGTTGGTCCGCCGCATATTTGCCCACGTCTTGGGGGAGTCCTCGGATGACACGACTCGTGCATAGATGCGACCAGTAAAGTAAAATAGGTGCGCCATCCAGCTCTCAGTCTCTGCGAGGGAGTGCAGACTGGTCTGCGGTAAGAGAGGAATGGGGCCGTAGTTATACTGGGTGTGGCTCTTTTGAAGGTGCAGGTGGCGCTCCAAATAATTCCTTTCAGAGCCGCCTTGAACAATGAAGTATGTTCCGACCAGATTCAGATAATATTTTGCAGCCTATTCTCAACGTTGTATAAACTCGAAAGCCTGTAAAACATTAGTGAGTGACATGTAGGTGAGAAAATGCATGAGCTCACCGTATCCTGCTGTCTATAGATATCGTTCTGATCTAAACTACACCCGTTCAAATTTTTAACTCAGCACCTAGTAGCCATTTCCGTCATCTTGAGAGACGGAGACCATCCCGTAACTGCATCGTAAATCATCATTGATAGATTCTGATAAAACGAGTAAATAAACAGTATGAATGAACTGGAGTTGCCATACCATTCGGCAACTGGGGTACTTCCCGTAAAATGGTAGGCCTAAACAAGATTATATCTAGAAAAAGTGTAGGTAAGGTGGTTGCTAATGAACTAAGTATTCGCTCACTCTCGCGAGATATGTTGTGGAACCTGTCGGTCAACGAGTCACGATGCCGTGATAAGCTGGGGGCCAAAAAAACAACTCTAAACTTTTAAGAACATCAGGAACACAAAAGATAGGTAGGGAATATGACGAGCTCACCGTGAAGCTCAGTGAGCTCGACGCTGTTGTCATTGTGGAAGTCAAAAAACCAAGTCAGGAGGCAGGTGATGGCGACGACCATCCACCTCACCAGCATCAAAGACGCGTACAACAGCCAGAAGAGCTCATTGAAGAAGACATCAAAGATGGGCAGAAGATGTCCGGGAGGATATGAGAGCGGGAGAACGAGGGAGAGGAGAAGAAGAAGTGGGAATGGGGAATGCGTAAAACCAGTCGGAGGGCCACCGTTAAAATATACCCGTTCGTTGCCCTATGAGTCTAACGGCAGGGTGCTGAGGATAAAAAGATGAAATCATGCGCAAAATTTCTAGCGCTCAGAAAATCGGAAATCTGGCAAAACGTTCAGAAGTGCTGGAAGGGTTTCCCGTTCCATGATAAACTTACGGCTGCCAATATTTTGTGCGAACAGGGACCCAAGCATCCAGGAAGTATGATCCTTCATCCATCGGACCATGCCGTCTTGATTTCCAGCCATGAACTCAAGATGAACACGAAAGATGCGCAGAGGATGAGGTGAAAGATGGATTCAGAAACTTGTGGAGATCAGACATGGTATGGAGCTGTGGTTGACATATCGGTAGTACAGTCTGCACACTCTCGTCAATGGGACGACGCGTCTTTCAGGGTCCAGAGTGGTCGAGCATCGCTTCTCTGCTGGATCAAAGTAGATTGGGCTGGCGAAAGGGGTGTCGAACGGTACATCATACTAGGTAAAATAGGCACAAAATGGATTTGAGACTCACAGTTATTCAGAGGAAAATAGATATCATGTTTTGAGATTGTCGAGGTGAGATTGCAGAACTCGAAGAAATAGTAGGTAGCCAAGGTGGTCGCTGCCGCTTTCGGACTGACGGAAATTGCCGCAAAGCTGCTTGCGGATGTCCACCTCGTCGTGCTCTCGATTTAGCCGGTCCTTCCTCCCTCTCTCTTTCGTTATCTTCACCACTGTTGTCTGGACGAGCAAGCTACTTGGTAACTAGTCCACCCTTGACGAGTTCGAGCTGGATTCTTCCAGCTTTCAGTCCAGCAAACCGGCGAAGGAGTTGAAGTGGCATTCTAGCGTGTTTTGTCTACATATGGAGCTCAGAGCGTCTTTTGTGCATCCGCACGCGCATATGTAGACATGAAGACCTCGGTCTTAGTGGGATATCTGTGCGGGTTTTGATCATGCACAAGGAATGACTCCCAGTTTATTTCCATCACTGCACTACAAGACCCCATCCAGCTTATCACCTCTACCCTTCCCCGGCGTCCTTATCCACTAATCGCGTACAATCGTCAAGCGAAAAATGAAACGCTCACATCCCAACTTACAATCCTCTCACCCCGACCGAAAGTTATAGCGTGCCTAGACGGGTTGGGAGACGGATTCGGCCACAAATATGGAAGCACACCAGTTTCCAAGGTCGTGCAAGACGAGGCTTGTGTTCTCAGGTTGACCTCTGAACCGAGGACGCTGTTGGGCGCACGAATTTCACTGGGTGGATTCATAGATGGGCTGTTGGTGAAGGACGTTTGAATATCCGACATTGAACGTCTGCATCGCCGTCTCGCATCATCTGTGGGCCTCTTCTGCCACCATCGTCAAGGACTACGACAGGCTCCGGCTAACAGGATCATCAAAACAATCAGTGACGCTTCAAAAATGCATCACTGCGTTTTAGAGAAAAGACCTTATTCGTCTCGACACAGAACCGCAAATTGTTTGCTCAGGAGAGAGCATGGGAGCAAGGACCCGGCCCTTTTACATCCTCCTCCACCGCGCAGCTGTCATGCTATTCGCATCCCATATCCTAGCTACACTCCAATACCAAGCGAACGACGCAACTCCCACACCCCACCACTGCCCAGACAAATCCTCCTACCACAAGCATACGAGCTTCCTGGCCAATCGTTAACTTCGAGAGGGATCTTCTCCCTACGTACCGTCGCTGGATATCGCTACGAATCCTGATGAACATGCAAGATTGGGCGCGGCTGGTGCTGAAATAATTGGTTAGCACCCCTCAAAATACAGGAAGAATCTCTGGAGATACAGATACATATGTTTTCCGCGTGAAAAAGCTGATTTCAGGCATTGGATGGTGAGAGGTTTCCCAGACTTGCTTGACTCGTCATTCTGATTTGCATATAGCAGCCACCAGTGCTGTTTACTGACACTATATCACCCAATAATATGCTGTATCTGAATCTGGAGTGATCGCGGGACTACACACTGAGCTTCGTCCACCGACTAGTCGAGACGATGGCCAACCTGCAGTTTGGTTCCGCCTTTGAGGATTTCCCGTTATTTTTCTCAACCTAAACACGCGACTTGAAAGTCAGATCATGCCTCGGTAGAAATTCTGCCCGTTACCGCGGTGTGCGCCAAGTCTTTCGGGTGCAGATGTGAGAAGACTCGCACGTCAAGTATGAAAATACCAAACCGAAGGAATACACGGGGCAAACATCTCAGAGAGCGCTCTGATGGCCTTGCTATGGCAGATTGGGAAACCCGTTCAGATGAGAAGAATAGCGAGAACGTGGCAAGGTCGGGAATTGTGTTTCGGAGCGTCTGCATCTCTGGACTCCGCCCATACACGCGACTCCCATACTCCCTCGCCACCACCAGCTGTTCCCTTTCCACACGTGTGGAAGCTCCTCATCAATAGCGCCTTAGGGTTAACATCCAACGCCAGTACGTGGACAATGTTGGCACGGCCGTGCAAGGCGAGGTTTGAGGCACTCGACATTAGTACTCTCAAGTCAACCTCTCATCTACGAGCCCTCCTCCTCCTCCTGCCACTATACGTTCCTCGAGACTGCGACATGCTGCCACCAATGGAATTACTAAAACAACCAATACCCCTTTCGCGAGCTTCGAAAAAATGTCTGTATCTTGGAGAAAGTCTTTGATCGCCTCGACAGAACTGAGCTCAGCGTTGCAGAATGTTTGCTTGGGAGTGTGTGGGAGAGAGGAATGGGCCATTTGCGCGCGTGTGTAGAACTGCGGAAAGAAATCCGTGAAATTTCTGGGGGAGTCGGGAGGCTGCTCTTGCGATGAGACCATTTGGACCAGGAAGGGTGTCGAAAGAACTGGAAAAGACGAGAGAGAGAGGAAAGTCAAAGCAAGACGAGTCACTGCTGGAGCCGGTATATTTTCTCTGCAGAAAAGCAAGACCTCAAAATGTCGTGACATTTCACTTGAACTTCCAATAGTAAAAGTGAGTTCACAAAAATGAGTTGAAAGATGAGATAATTTCCGTACTCTTTTAAGTGAAGGAAAATAACAGGAAAAACGGAATGAAAAAGGCCTCTCCCACGGTCAGAACAAAGGAAACTACCTTTCATTTGGAGAAAAGAAGCTGTTTTCGGTACGTGAAAGGAGCACCAAATAGGACAAATTTTTCATTTCGTTTTCCGTATCCCACTTTTGTGGCATACAAAGGAAACGAAAAGTCACGACATTTTTTGAATACCTTTTTCCGTCCTGAAAAGGAACCGACCCCAGCAGTGAGTCCCAACGTCGCATCACCAAGCCAAACATGGCATCCCTAACAATGCCGTCACCTCAATGCCATTCTTCTCGATGCTCGCCGCATACCGACAATGCAACGGGACTGGTAGTGCTTAACGAAACAGTATTTCAATTTCTCCCTTGATGCGACAACTATTCAATATGTATCCCTCTTGCAGCCGAGGAACTTGTAGTGAGATTATCCATCAAGGACCCCGGTTTCAACCCAAAAGTCGACGTGTAGTACTAGACTCGAGCCAGGCCCCACTTCGGTTGATGACAGTCGGTCAACTAGCATCCGCCTGCTCGAGTTGATTGATTGTCATCAACTGGTGGGGAGACTGGTTTGAGTCTAGTGTAGCACGGATAGGCGGAATGAGCAGTCGAAAGACCAGGGAGGGCTGGGTGGAACCTCGGGCACATAACCAGTACCAATGTTTCTCTCCAGTGTATTTTGACTTGCAAATGCATCTTTCCCTCGTCTTCGTCTTTGTCTCCACGGTAAATTATGCGAGTCGAGAATATAAATTGAATTCCTGATATAAGTACATGCTCTACATGTGCGTAAGTATTGTGTAATAACCAGCAAGTCTCCTCTTTGCGAGAGCGCTGATCTTTCGCCCGTTGGCCTAGCATCGAAGGCTAGACGCAAGTTAGCTGGATTTCTGAATAGACAAGCGGTATATAGACTTACAATATAGGTACACGCCATGATTGTCCTTGAAGGATGAACATAACCCGTCTCATGCTAACGAGTAGAGGTGTATAGATCACCGTTACGCTAAAGAGAAGGGATTAGTGAACGTCGTATGGTTCCGAAGAAAGACCTTTACCAGCAAGATGCACTAGGTACGAGGAGTAAATCACGACTCGTATCACAGACTGAACGACATCGCCTCGGACGACCGTGTCGACAACCAGAATTCTTCCAAAGCAGGGGCACATCAAACAGACTCCATTAAGAGGTCGAAGATGACTATTCCGGGAGTTAAGGTAACAGCGCTAGGGAGTTTTGAGGGGAAAGAGACCTATATTTGAAGACGTCAGGACAGAATGTTGGTGAGAGGAAACTACGGACCCGGAGAAAGAAACGACTAGCGTAGCTTTGCTACGCCATGATTCTCCCCTCCATCTCACGTCCAAAAACAGTTCATGCAGCCTGCCACACCCCGCGAACGTATTGCAAACAAGACACGTATCGAGTTCAACCTGGACAACGGTCGCGAAGAGTCCATGTCGTACGGCGTCAAGAAGTCGTGATTATTGGCGTAGGTGAAATGCATGGAAGAGGAACTTTCGGTAACGATATGTCACGAGCACAAAGTCGTGGTAAATAGCGAAGGCCGCGAGAGCGAGAACCGATGGTAGCAGAAGAGGATCCCGCCTTGCCCTTATCATCCTCCTGCTAAACAGATGCCTCCTTGCCACTCAGAACACGCCTCAGACGTCGATACCCTGCGAGGAGTTAGATGCCCGGAAAATTTTTCATACATCGAGTGCTGCCCACAATGCCATGCGATGTTCGTGTTATGC